TATTAAATCGAAGAGATCTTATGACAATTCAAGATTTAGAGAGCACAATTCTTGAAACCATAACAATGAAAATCGCCATCACACGACCTATTATTTTAAATCAAATCGATCAAATAACCGACTACCTTAACACCGATTTTAATTTTGATAAATCAGCGAAACTTGAAGAAGTAGTTTCAATWACAAAAGGAATTCATGCCGAATTAATCGCAAACCATATACCGAAGAACAAACAGAGTTTTATCAACCAGATAAAATTACTCGCAACTGAACAGCTGGCAATCAAATGGATGGAAAAGCTGAATAACTCGGTAAAAGTAAGAAAATGTATATAAATATTTCGATAGTTAAAATTTTTTATCATGATTACCTATTTTTATTACAGAATAAAACGGAAGCTTTTAACGTTGACATATCACATTTTTAGCCTGAAGTCAGCAGACCTAAGACAAGAGCATTCGTAGCACGTGAAAGGGAAATAGCAAGCCGTAGATTGAGTTTTGGAAAATAATTAATTATGTAATATTTTATTGTGACTTTGGTACATTAATAAAAAAAAAAAAAAAATGTAATATTTTATACTTACATTTTTATTGTGGCTTTGGTCGATGATAATAAAAAACAACGTGATATTTAAAAAAAGTATTTTTATTTACAAACTATTTACAATTCCCTTACATCACCATTAAAAGGGTTATAAGTTATAATTTGATCGTGTAAAATGAGACAATAAGCTGCAGTCTTCGMTGGAWTGGCTTTGCCTGTTTCGAACTCGATGCGTAAATCAACAGTCGACGATTTTACGTTGTCGTCGACTATGATTGGTACGTATTGTTCAAAAATGGTTTTTGACAGTAGAGGCTCACTATATTCTCTATCGTAGTATGATTTTTGGAAATCTGTATATGCTTTATATAAAGTGCCGTAACGTTGTTTGTGAAATCTGAACGGAAATCTTCGTATGGATACACTTCAGARTTTAGRTGTATTTTAAGGTTTTTCAGGTAACAGTGATCGAATCGTCCAGATGGATTAAATAAATTATTTGTTCGATCTGTTTGAAAGCCAATTAATGCAAATCTGGGTTTCTCGAGCAAACTGCTCGATTTAACCGTCCACGAATGAGAAGTGTTCTGAGGGAGAACCGGATATTCGCACAAGTCCCAATTTCTGAACGCACACGAAAGTTGTTTACGAGAGTCTAATACTTTTAATAGTTTTATTTTTTCTTTGTCACTCACCCTGATAACCGGCATCTTCCAAAATATTTTACACAGCTCAATCACTACTTTTTTGAGTTTTTCTATATTGTCATTCGCAGTGGTCTCGGAAACGTACAACGCATCAGAGTCCGTAGACGATCTGTTTAATTTAAAATTTAAAATGATTTGTTGGTTGCAGTTGAGTAGTATTTTTTTATAATCTTCACAAAATCCAAACAACTGTTTGAGCGGGATACAACCAGCAAATTTTTTATTTAACGTGAAATTTTTATTTTCACTGGCATTCATTTCTACGTCCCAAGCAGCATTTTTTAGATTGTTCAATTCATTCGGTGTGTRTGAGCAAAACCCTTTAAGACTCGATGATATTCCAGGAGATTTTAATTTTTGTATTTYAACACCGTTAATTTCATACCGGATTTCAGAAAACAAAAACGCCAAACCATTATTTGTAAAATTAATTTTGTTCGCATTAATTTCGTTCGCGCAGATATTGATCTGCCGGTATATTTAATTTACCTTTAATATAGAGATAGCTCTCGCAGGGGAGAGTGTAAGCGTCCATATTTTGAATGGATATTCTAATTTCGTCGTTATTGGATAAAGCTGTYGAAGAATAGGGGAGGAAAGAGTGGTACTGCATTTGAGTTATTTTGCATTCATCTTCATATCCGCCGGYCACRTCCAAATACATGTCATCCATGATTATAGAACTTTTAAAGACCGTAGAAATGATAGATTCTTCTTTGTTAGTTTCGTTACAATCGGCGTACGTCTCGACGTATTAATCTTGTTAGTAGAACTGTAGCGACTCTTGATAGCATTTCTTTTTATATAGCTGTTGAAYTTAATRGCCATTTTAATGTTTAATTTGTATACGAACTGTGATTGGCTCCCCTCTTAAATTGATCAAATTATTATCTTGATCTCTTAGTACTATATTCACTTTACTTATAGACGAAGAATTAAGCCGGTAGAAAACTAGGTGTTATGGGACTTCTATGATTTTATGTCCAGGCGG